TGACAGGTAATGGGAGAACTAGATACGCAAAGGTTCTTGCATGTAAAAAGATCAAAGTAACTACAGTGGAGCACTGGCTAAAATTACTTTGCTGTTTTCATGACATGGATAACTGGGTAACTAGCCATGGAAACCTTGAATTCCCCTTTTAATTGTCATATATAGTGGTGGATTTGTGATGGGTGCAGGGTTGTCAGATTAAATACAAAACCCCTCCCATTACTTAACGCCACCGTTTCATCTTCTGAGGTTAGAATAAATATAGGCTTAATCATTTTCTTAAAAAGACCATGGCCAAATCATTTCCACACAAAAATTACTTATTGTGAACTGGAATTTTGTTTAATTTAAATGGGAACATGACTAAATCTTCTACTTTTAATTAGCTTTCTTGCCCAGAGTTTCTGGATTTTCTTTTAAAAAATTGCTTTAAGGAACTGATTGGATGTGTGTCTTGCTTTTAGCTGTATAGTCTAATTTTTATTAATAGAGCACTAACAAGAATGGTTAGAGCAACAACAAAAAAAGATGAGAGATTATGTCAATATTTGGGATGTTTTTAAACAAGGGAAAATGGTTTATCAGTTTAAAAAAAGCCAATAATTATATTATATTGTTCTGACATAATAAATTAATTCTGAGGATCTTCAAAAAACTTCATGGAAAATGAGTGTTATAAAAAAAGATGCATGGGTTTCAGATGTTTTTGTATTAAAGTAAACTTGTACAGAGTTGTTGTAACATGTCTGAAAAGGATCTAATGTGAGACAATTGCAAGGATAAGACATCAAATAGAAGAGAGCTCCCTCCCAAACTGCATGAACTCTGCTAAAATTGAAGCAAGAGCAAACATCAAATGTATGGTGCAGCTTAGTTGAATCATGGTGAAACCATTTGGTGACTCACTAAAAGTTATAAGGACAGTGCCCCGAAGAAATCAGTAGTTGCACACGAAGAACTGATTTTGAAAAGGAAAGAGACAATGTTGGAGATAAAAGTCCGGCATGGGCCACTGCCCACCTGTCTTGGTGGTACCTTACTTGGGGAGGGCTATGATCAAGAGCAGAAAAACAGCAGTCAACAGCACAGACCTCCATCTCCCTTAGTTCAGCTTACACAACCCTGACTGAACAATTCAAGTTGAGCGAACTTTCTAAAGATTGGTGAGTGCCAGAACCGTCGGTCCCAGATCAGCTCGCTGTAGATAAGCACAGAGTTTCTTTTGAAAGTCTTAAAGTGGGATCAAGATTCTGAAGCATTTTTTTGAAGAATTGTAACAAGTGATGAAACAACTCTACCATATGATCCTGAAGACAAAACCCAATCAAAGAAATAACTACCAAGCATTGGAAATCGAGCAAAAGCAGACCAGCCAAGGGAAAAGATTATGGCAACTGTTTTTTGAGATGTTCAGACAGCTTGCTTGTTGATTTTCTGAAGGGTCAAAGAATAATAACATCTTATTATAAGGCTATTTTGAGAAATTTAGCCCACAGCATAAAACTTCTGGGAAAGCTTTACCAGAGAGCAATTCACCATGATAGTGTTCCTGCTTACTCATCTCATCAAACAAGGGCAATTTGTGACAGTTTCTATGGGAAATCATTTGGCATCCATCTTTAGAGTCCTGATATGGCTCTTTTAGACTTCTTTTTGTTTCCGGATCTTAAAAGGCACCTGCTTTTTATCAATTCATAATATAAAGACTATATTGACATAGTAAAATTCCCAGGACCCTCAGTTCTTTAGGGGTGGACTAAATGCCTGGAATCCTCACTTTACAAAATGTATTGACCTTGATGGAACTTAATGTTGAAAAATGTTAAATTTTTTAACCACTTAACTAATTTTTCCATGAACCTTTGAAAAGTTCTCCTGTACGTTATGCGTATGAATTAAAACAAAACAAGACCGGCTTCCTCTCCTGCAATTGGATTGGTTCTTTTTTGGGCAGCAGGGCTACAAAGCCAGTGTTTTAAACTCAGTCCCCTGAACCAGACATGCGTTTTCTTTTTACTTTTAGCTTTCGGAAAAGATACAAACATGTTTATCAGAGCAAGGGTCCCCACCTGAAACTCTCCTGATTGCAAACAGTCTCTGGTTGCATTTTCTATTACAGCTGTGGGAGACAGCCTGGGGAGGAAATAGTTCTTTGTACCCTTCTTGACCCTGGCTTTTTATGTTCAAAATAAACATTTTGAATCACTCATCTGGACTCTTTGTAGAGAGTGGAATGAATGTGACTGACTGATGTATAAAAGAGAATCTAAAGCAGAGGGGGTCCTATTTTTTTTTTGCTAACTACCATGTTAACTATAGCGTTTATTTATAGAATGTGGGTTAGTTGAAAAGTTTAGATAGGTTTGGGGGTCGAGCACATAAGTTAAATTTCACTCCACTACGAGCTGTCTCTGAAAAAGTGTGTCAGATTTACATTCTTTCATTATACTCAGCCAATCTGTATGCTGAACAAATCATCAGAGAAGTTGGATTATATGAAGAAGAACGTGGCATCAGGATTGGAGGAAGACTTATTAATAACCCGTGATAGGCAGATGCTTTGCTTGGTGAAAGTGAGAAGGTCTTGCTGTTGAAGATCAAGGATTGCCGCCTTCAGTATGGAGTACAACTCTACATAGAGAAGACCCAAGTCCTCACAACCGCAATAGGTAAACTAGTAGATAAATGGAGGAAAGATTGACCTGGTCAAGGATTTTGTTTGTCTTGAATGCACAATCAATGCTCAAGGAAGCAGCTGTTGTTAAGCGATCAAAGATTGGGTAAACTAGATTGGGTACATCTGCACAAAACCTTTTTAAAGTGTTGAAAATCAAGGATGTCACTTTGAGGACTAAGGTGTGCTTGACCCAAGCCATAGTATTTTCAGTTGCCTTGTGCATGTGAAAGTTGGACATTGTATAAAGAAGATTGAAGAAGAATCGATGCGTTTAAGTTATGGTGCTGGCAAGGAATGTTGAAAGTACCATGGACTGCCAAAAGAACAAATCTGCCGTGGAAGCAGTGCAGCCAGAATACTCCTGAGAGGAAGGGTGGTGAGACATTGTCTTACATACTTTGGGCATGTTGTCAGGAGAGATCAATCCCAGGAAAAGGACATCATTACCTTACCTGCTGAAAGTGAGGGACTTGAAGCACTTACCATTGAAGACAAAAGACTGTAGCCTTCAGTATGGGTCATGGCTCACCATAACTCAGGGCTGTACCAATAAGCAGCAGCATGGTAAATGGAGGAAAGACTGAAGCTGTCAGAGATTTCATTTTAGTTGATACATAAAACGCCAGGAAAGCGGCAGTCAAGACATCAGACAAACCCACTGCGCTCACTCACTGCCATCGAGTCAGTGCCGACCCTGTAGGACATAATAGCACTGCCTCTGTGGGTCTGCAAGATGGTAACTTTTTGTGCAAGTAGAAAGATCAGTCTTTCTCCCCAGAGCTGCTCATGGTTTTGAATTGCTGACTTTGTGGATCACAGCCCAGCTCATAACCACTACACCACCACGGAGCCTATAAAATTTGCAGAAGACTTAAATATCGGTTCAAAAGCAAAGCATTGAAGACTCAGGTGGGCCTGAGCCAAGCCATGGCATTTTCAATCATCATACAAGCATGTGAAAGCTGTACGATGAGTGAGGAATGCCAAACAAAAATCAATGCTTTTGAACTGTGTTAAGACTATTGTATTTGACATGGACTGCCAGAACAGCAACAAAAATGTGTCTTGAAAATACAGCCAGAATGCTCTTCAGGGTGTGCTAGGAGGGCGGAAATTTTGAGCATGTTATTAGGATGGACTTAAACCCTGGGGAAAGGATATCGTGCTTGGTAGAGGGTCAGCAAAAAAGACCCTCAGTGAGATAGATTAACAACAGAGGCTGTGACAATGGGCTGAAATGTAGCAAAGGTGGTGAGGATGACATTAGGACTAGGCTATGTTTTGTTCTGTTGTACCTGAGTTGCAATGAGAAGAAATAAGACGTGATGGCACCTAACAACAAACACTAGTTCTATGTCCTGGGGCATAGATCTGTTTGAAATTGGAAACCCACAGGGGCAGTTCTCCCCTGGCCCAGAGGGTCGATATGAATCGTAATTGACTTGTTGGCATTGAGTGCTGCATATACTTGTACACACACCTACATGTGTTTATGGGTCTTGCCCAGTGAGTGAATTTATAGTGTCCTTGAGAGCAAGGGATCTGGCTTATTTGTTCACTGCTGTGTTCTCAGTACTCCGAACAGGCTCTGGTACATTCTCAGTAAACCTGATATATGCAAATGTAACCTGCTTAAAATGAAAAAATACTTAGACATATTTTGGGAAATGAATTTCACGGTCTCTTCACCTCCAGTTGCTTCTGAGAAGGTACTTGGAGCTTGCTGGGAAAGAGCCTCTGGGTTATGTAGCAGTGGCTGTTGGACCCAAGAGGGGCAAATGCTGCCAATGTGTCATTTCCGATGCAGCAGGCACTGAAGGACAGGAACTGCTTGTCCATTTGGGGCCTGCATTCTTGGAGAGCTCTGGCTTGCACTCTTTGCCAGTGGGAAATGCTCGTGGAGACTCTGGGTTAGGTTCGAAGGCTTTCTGTGTACAGTGTGACGTAGAAACCAGTAAGTCTTTGGTTAATAAGTGTGGCACATGGAAACCTTGTGGTAGCATTTGTACAATTCTACTTGATGTGATTGAAATATAGAATGATAGGTTATATGTATTAAACCTCAATTTGGAAGAAAAAAATTATAAACCAAGGACAGCATCCCCTTTATCTAAGTGCTTATAAATTACTATACTAATACAATGTTAAATAAAAAATATAAGTGTGGCACAAATAAATCTCTTAGAAATGTCAGATCAGACAGGAGACTGCAGGGGCCAGTGTTCTCTAAGGCTTGTCCCCTTGGACAATAATCCTCATTTATGTAATTTATAAAGTTAGTATAATAATTTTAAGCCTATCTTTTTTTCTTCTTCTAGATTCTTGAACTCTGTTAATCCAACTTTTTGAGCACCATGAATAACCACGTGTCTTCAAAGCCATCTACAATGAAGCTGAAGCAGACCATCAACCCCATTCTTTTATGCTTCATACATTTTATAATATCACTTTATACCATTTTAACATGCATTCCATTTTATTTTTTGTCTGCATCAAGACAAGAAAAAGCAAACCAAATAAAAGCCAAGCCTGTGAATTCCAAACCCGAGGCTGCATACAGATCTGTGAACAGTTTGAATGGTTTGGCTTCTGTCATGTACCCTGGGTGTGATACTTTAGATAAAGTGTTCACGTATGCAAAAAACAAGTTCAAGGACAAAAGACTTTTGGGAACACGTGAAATTTTAAATGAGGAAGATGAAGTCCAACCAAATGGGAAAATTTTTAAAAAGGTAAGTTGACCTTTTAATTGCCTTGAAATTTCTTCCAAATAAAATGTCTTCTCAGCCCTTGCAGATGGTGCCGGGGAAGCTGGGGGAGGAGGACCAGCCAGCCCTGGGATCTCTCACCTTAGGGTGGGAGTGCACGTCTGAACCTGGTTCCCTCGAGATTAGGCCGCCAAGGAAAGCCACAGGCCCTGTTAGCACCAGAGGTCCCTGTGTGCGCTTTTCCACTCCAGGTTTTGTGATGTAACCTGCTGCCTCTGGTCTTTTGTGGGTCACAGTGGGCGCCAGAGGTCTTGGTTCTTCAGCTCTAGGCAGTTGCATGGCTTCTGCAATTTTTCCACTTGTAAGAAGAACCTGCCATTGTTCATTTGAAACTGGCATTTAAAGGAATCTCTTATGGCTAAGAACATGAACTCTAGACCCAGATTGTGGTCTTGAATCTTGACTTTGTCGCATAATAGCTGTGTACCCTTGGAAAAGTTAATGAATGCATTTGCCCCCAGTTTCTTTATAATATATGGAGTTGGAGAGGTTTCAGCACTTATTATGAGCCCAGTTTTATGCATATTAACCAGTTAAGACTTCGGGGGCCCTGGTGGCAGCACAGGGATTGAGTTAGCCAAAAGGTGGCTTGAACCCACCAGCTGCTAAATGAAAAAAGGATGTGGCAATCTGCTTTTGCAAAGACTGCAGCCCTGAAAACCTCAATAAGGTGGTTGTACTCTGCTCTACAGGCTTACTGGGGGTTGAAATTGACTACAGTGGCTTTACTTAGAATACTCCTACTGCGTATAGAAACTACAAGGATTAGTGCTTTACAGAGGACCATGTTGAGGGAACTAGGCTAGGTAATAATTGCTCCAGGACATAACTCGTAGTGGTGAGCTGGGGTCTAGAATCCTGCTCTTCTGGTTCTAGTACCCATACTTTGAACGTGACCATAGCCCAGAGGGTTGTTAAGGATTAGTTGAATGTGTATATATTTCATGTAGTTAATGTCTTTAAAACACATAGTGGTATGTAGTGTAAATGGTCTAGCTTGTGTTCCTGTTATGTTACTGTTAGGGGAATTCATTGGGGGAAATGATAGAGCATAGAAATCATAGAGGATAGTAATTTTAGCAGTGGCTCAAGAATTATATTTCTCAACTGGGCCTGTGACTTTCTTCTTAATTGTTCGTGAAGGACTGGCCGGTGAAAATGGTAAATAAAGTCTTGTTTAGAGGCAGTAAGATCATCTGCAGCTGGTGGATAGTTTGGTTAAGCCATAGCCTTTGTCCTTGGCACCGCTGATGGTAGAAGTCGGGATAGGGTGGGGGTGGGGGTTTGTAGGCCTTTAGTGGGGAAAAGAGACCCCATATTTCAATTTTAATTTATAAACACATTTATGTCTCAAGCAGGACAAAGGAATGACAAAAACACATCATCTGGATAAAGACGACCATCAGTTATAGAATTTTGAGTACCATATATACTCGTGTATAAGCCGAGTTTTAAAAAATTGTTTATTTTATTGGGACTCTAAGCCGAGTTTTTGAGCATATTTTTCATGCAGGTTTTGTGGTAAAATTACATGCTTCGGCTGACATTCGGGTTGGCTTATACTCGAGTATAAATAGAGCTTGGAATGCAAAGGAAACTCACAGATGCATTATTGGGGCATATCACTGTATTACAATTGCAGGTGGACTACCGAATCGGGAATGGGGCTGTGATTGGGACATGAACATTATGCTGGATAGACAAGCTTACGGGATTGGGTCTGGGGCTCTCCAATCCAAGGCAGTCAGGGTATGACTCATAAACATTCCAAATGCCATCAAATATCCCAATTGCCATCAAGGGCATATCCAGGCAAGTCACTAAGGGCTAGGCTACCCCTCCCTGGCCTGGCTAGGGTAGGGATGGCAATCCACTTACAAACACACGCTTCCTGAGGTAATGCTATTCATATTGCCAGTTAAATAAAGTCACTGCCATGGGATGGATTTGGACTCTTAGCGGCCCTGTAGGACAGAGCAGAACTGCCCCTGTGGGATTCTGAGACTATAATTTTGTGTCCTATGGCTTGTCAAGCTGTTTCAGGACTAATGTCCCATCACTGAACTGAGCAGATTTAAGCAGCCAGGCTGTGTTTCAGTGTCACTTGATTCTAGCTTTCCCAAGAGTGAATGCTGTCTTGAAATGCAGAGCAGCCAACTGACCGGTTCTCAGGACATCTTTACTTGTACCTGGAATAGAATAAATTTGCAAAGACAAAAAAAAAATTTTACAGTGAAACTCTGAAAGGGCTCAAACAAGTGGCACACACAACTGCTGGAACGTCTTTTAATAGTTTTATACACATTAGAAAAGAGTAAAGGGATTTATTGACTATGCTAATGCATTCAGCTGTGTAAACCATAACAAACTAAGGATAGCCTTGAGAAGAAAGAGAATTCCAAAATACTTCTTTGTGCTCCTGTACTTGTACCCGGAATGAGAGACAGTTGTGTGAACAGAACAAGGGAATGCTGCATGGCTTAAAATCAGGAAAGGTGTGTGACTGTGTTGTATCCTTTCACAATACTTTTCAATCTGTATGCTGTGCAAATGATCAGAGAAGCTGAATTATATGAAGAATTGGATAAATCTGCACAGATCCTCTTAAGAGTATTGAAAAACAGGGGTATTACTTTGAATTCTAAGGTATTCCTGACCCTAGTCTTGGTATTTTTGGTTGCCTCATATTCCTGTGAAGTTTGGACATTTAATAAAGAGACAGTAGAAGAATCCATGCATATGAATAACAGTGCTTGCAAAGAATATTGAAAGCACCATGGACTGCCAAAAGAACAAACAAATCTGTCTTAGAAGTATAGCCAGAATGCTCCTTAGAGGCAGGGTGGCAGGACAACCGTCCAAAAATGAGACTGCTGGTTTGTTGTTCTGTGGTGGCTTGCTTGTGTGTTGCTGTTAGCTACGCCATTGGCATTTCAAATACCAGCAGGGCCACCCATGGTGGGCAGGTGTCAGTGGAGCTTCTAGACTAACAGACTAGGAAGCAGGAATTGACTTTCTGTTTCTTAGGGATTAGCTACAAAAACCTTATAGATAGCAATGGAACATTGTGTGCTGTGGTTCAGAGGATGAACCTCCGGGGTGGAAGGCACTTTGAAATATGACTGGGGAAGAACCACCTCCGTAATAGAATCAACCTTAGTGATGCAGAAGGAACGAAACTTTGAGGACCCTCATTTGCTCATGTAGGGCACAACCTAGAATGAGAAGAAGCAGCTGTAAACATTGACTAACAATCAGAACATGGGTTGTATGCATTATGAATCTAGGGTTGTTAGACCTCAGCAACAATGGGTATCCCAGACTTAGTGAGCTGCTTGTTGAATATCAAAGACTATATAGCCTTCCATGTGGGTTACACCTCAATGTAAAGAAACAAAAGCCCTCACGACGACATCTAGTATAGTGATAAACAGAAAAGATCGAAACTATTGAAGATTTCGTTTTGCTTGGATCCACAATCACGGTTCATGGAAACAGCAGTTAAGAAATCAATGTCTTGCCTTCAATAAATCTACGGGAGATCTGTTTGAAGTGTCAAAGAGCAAAGAGGTCACTTTGAGAGGACTAAGTTGTATCTAACCCAAGCCATAGATTTTTTTTCTTTTTAAAAAAAAAATTTTATTGGGGGCTCGTACAATTCTTATTACAATCCATACATATATCCATTGTGTCAAGCACATGTGTACATTCGCTGTCCTCATCACTCTCAAAACATTTGCCTTCTACTCTAGCCCCTAATTTCAGCTGCCCATTTCCCCCCTCCCTCCCCACCCCCCCTATCCCTCATGAACCCTCCATAATTCACAAATCATTGTTTTGTCATAAGTTAGAAGCCATAGATTTTTGTTGGCCTCATATGCAGTTAAAAGTTGGATCGCAAATAAGGAAGACCGCTGAATAATTGATGTTTTTGATGTGAAGAATACTGAAATTACAGAAGAATAAACAGACTTGTCTTGGAGGAAGTAGAGCCAGAAGGCCGCGCTCCTCTGAAGTGAGGAAGGCTGAATTTCATTTCACATACTTTGGATATGCTCTTGGGAGAGACCAGTCCCTGGAAAGGGACCGCATGCACGATAAAGTAGAAGGTCAGTGAAAAAGAAGACCTTCCAGGAGATGGATTGAAAGGGTTCAGGGCAGTGTTTTGTCCCGTTGTGCCTAGGGTCATTTTGGGTTGCTATGTTGTTTTTGGCCAACTAAACAATACCTAAGAGAGGGGAGAGGTCATATTGATTCTTTCAAGTGCAGAGGGAATTGAAGTTTTGTTAAATACATTGTCCACCACACACATTTAATAAATTTGGAGCCCCTTGTGCCAGAAATAGAAACTAGGAAGTTCTAGAAACTAGGAAGACAATCTGAGCAAGACACTGGTTACTCCTCATGGGACTTATATTTACATGAAATATTTATATTCCAAATAGCGAAAGTACGTGGGGGTGGGAAGTGCGATTGGTGGTTCCAGCAAACCTCCATGAGCATATTATGGTTGAGCCGAGGTCTGAATGGCAAGAGGTGCCAACTTTACAAAGATCTGGGTAAAGAATCTTAGGCAGTGGTACATGTTTAAGCAGGGATTAACCTAGTGGGGTGCAGTGTCGGGTTGCCTAATTTAAGGCATTCAGATTGAGAGTGAGTGACAACCTCATTAAATGTGTGTCCGCAGCTTCATCCTACTGTATGTGCTGACCGAGACTGCTGAACAGAAACGATAAAGTTGTGAGTTAGAGTCAGAGGGTTTAAGATGGTCACAGAGGTAAAGTAAGTCTAGGACCACTTAGGGCTTTGTAAATGTTTAAACTCCATTTCTTCTGGAAAGACATTACTCAGTGTTGAGCAATACTTGTTTTTTTTCTTAAGAATACTGTAAGAAGGGTGGGTTTTAGGGTAATAAGAATGGATGAAAGCTGATCAACGAGCATGTTCAGGGAGTGCTGGACTAAGATGACAGACATGGAGATGGAGAGAAATGGATGCATTTGAGGTTTATTTTAGTAGAAAATGTCCACAGAACTTGCGATTACTTTAGAAATGAGTTTTGAAAATAAACATAATGGAAGATAACTTCTGGGTTGTGGGTAGTGTTTTTACTTTATGAAAGGCTAGGAGAAAAGATTATGTTGGAGTGGTGGGGTGAATTGAAGAGTTTTGTTTGGGAGCATACTAGGCTTATGCTTCTACTAGACCTCTCAGTTGAATAATCAAGTATAAAAGGAAGTGTTTATTCAAACAGAGGTGGTTAGGGTTGGGGAAAAGAAATGTGAGAAGCTCTTTTGAAGCAACATCTCTGAGAAGTTGATTTTTCTCAGGGACACTTCAGCCATTGTAACACAAGGAACCACAATGAGCATGACTAGAAATGCATGAATGTAAGTTATTAAACGATGATAAGAAGATAAAGGAGCTTATTGTTCAGTAAAGTTTGAGACATTATCACCTGGGATGGGAAGAGAAAAAGAGAAAGAGGAGGGGAAGATTCTTGAATAGAAAAATATCAAATAGCTGTTTTGGAGGGGAAAAAAGACAGTAGAGAGAAGCAAATAGGTTTGTTGAGTTTTGAGATTTGTGATCCTGGATTTAATAAGCTTGTGTGTGTTTTTGGAAAGATAGACAATGAATAAAGAAATAGTTGTTTCATTGCGGGTTGGCATTATCTTGGGGGTAGAGTTGGAATTAGAAACTTTTTTTTTTTAACAGAGGTCAGATAAAACTTTTTGAGTAGCAGGGTCTTCCAAATGTAATCCTAATAAAAAAGGTAACAACTGAAGTTTAGTGATTTTTTTTTTTTTTAAGACTTGAAACAGTAGAATCTAGGTTTGGGTTCGTATATTGTTTCTATTCTTTCCTATGTGAAGACATACTGCCCTTGAACTAGACTATGATTTGGTTTCTTTGCCATGTGATGGCAACTTCATGAGTTCACCGTATATTTGGATTGTGTACGTGTAAGGCCTTGTCAGAACATGCCCATGTGCTTTGAGAGTTGTGGAGTTTGTCATTTTGATTCTAGAATCTAGAAGAAGGTAGCTCATGCTAATCTTTGGAATGTAAAATTAGTAATAATTGTAATCCAGTTCCTGGACATCTTGGCCAAATTCTCATCTGTCTTCTCACCCTCACAGGAGCTCCCGTGCTGAGCATTTCGTGGGGGTGCAGAGCAAGGTGAGAGTTTGGGACCATTAACAATAACTTTCATCTTAAACACAGCCCTTACACATCAGGATAAGACTTTTTCAGTCCATTATTGGAAAAGAGGGCAGCATTTATCCATTTTTCCATTTTTATCAGTCATCTAGCCTCTCCAGAATTAGCAATCTCTTAACTATTGTTTAAAAATGAATGTGTCAGCTGGTTTCAGTAGATGGGAGACATATATGACAGTTATGCTTGGGAATGGTTTGCGTATTTCTTGCAGAGTTTTTTCCCCCAGCGTATCTGTAATTTGGATTTATGATTTGATCATAATGGGAGAAAAGCACTAAAGGCAGAGAATTTTAAAGGGTGTTGTGACTAATGCAAGGGCACCTGGTGGCACTGGTTAAATTCTCAGCTACTAAACAGAAGGTCAGTGGTTCAAACTCACTAGCTGCTCTGCAGGAGAAAAGTGGTGGTCTGCCTCCTTAAAGATTACAGAAGTAGGGACAGTAGACACCCTATGGGGAAATTTTACTCTCATAGCATTGCTCTGAGTTAGGGTCAGTGTTGCTTGGCATTGGGGAGCTGATGATGACTTAACGCATTGTTGATGTTACCTGCAGTTCTGATAAAAAATATTGGAAGCTTGAAAGTACCCATGAGCATTTGAATCTTCCACAGAGGGACTCTGATGAATAATGTAACTAGCTCCCGCTTGGTTGAGTAAATAGAGACTTGTTTATTTTGCCAACCCAGAGTTAAGACGATTCACTGAGTAACCGTACTGTTATTCTTACCTTGGATAATGAGCTATTTTTTGTTTGTGAATTTTGTTATACCTCCTGATATTTGAAATTAGGAATTCATAAGTTGAGAGAAAGTAAAATTTTGATATCAGGAGTACTTGTTACGAGACAAAAAATATAATTGAATGCCTAAGTCACTCAAGTAACTGACATAAGCAAATATTGGAATATGGCCGCTTGGACATGAAGTTGATCTTTAAGATAACATTAAACAGTGACACTTAAGGAGTCACAAAAAGGACCCCCTACTTGTAAAAACCCTTGTAGTCAAAGATGTAACAAAAGATTTGAGTTGTGATGGAACTTGACTTTAAAAAATATAAATGGATTTTATATATATATATATATGGATTTTTCATTTGAAATTCACTTTCTTGTATTTCATTACAAGAACCACGAAACATGTCTATATGTAAACACTACTTTCTGGTTTTTCAGACTCGGTTTTCTCAAGTTACTGTTGGTGACATTAAAAGCGATGTGTATTTTTTGTTCTTCAGGTTATTCTTGGACACTATAATTGGCTTTCCTATGAAGATGTCTTCATTCGAGCCTGTAATTTTGGAAATGGCTTACAAATGTTGGGCCAAAAACCAAAGACCAATATCGCCATCTTCTGTGAGACCAGGGCTGAGTGGATGATTGCTGCACAGGCCTGCTTTATGTATAACTTTCAGCGTAGGTTGACTTTCGTACCTTTTCCAAGAGTGGCATGAGTTATGGGAGAAATGATGCTAACTTTATCAATCTCAAGAGATTGAAATTCTAATGCTAGTGGTTATTTACGATTGGAGGGTTCTTTTCTTATAACTTAAATTTTGGACCATTTTTGAGAAGAAACAAGTTATGGAACAAATTGAATAAGTCCCATGTGGCAAGGAAACTCAAGGGGGTTTCTAGGCCTAGGGAGAAACCCGCCTAGTTCTTGAACCAGACTGCATGTGAAGTCTTTGCTACCTTTGAGCCCAGACTGCATTCCAGGTCTTTGCTATAAGAGTTGAGCTCTACACCACATTCATATTTCAGCCTCGTGCACTTTAAGGTATTAAGTTAAACAGTAGAGAGGGTTTTTCTAAAAATGATCACAATGGCTCATTTTGAGAGAGAGTCCTGGGAGCTTAGTCCTTGGTCTCAGATGGCTAAGCAGTTTTTTAAAAAGGTATTTACTTTTGGCCCTTTTATGCTGCTTTACTTTTTTTTAACAGTCTTCTTGACATACAGTTCATATACCATAGAACTCAGTGGTTTCAGTACATTAAGAAGAGTTGTGTCCTGATCACCACAATCCATTTTAGAACACTTTCTTTATTCTTACAGTCATTGTTATTAGCTCCCCTTTTCCTTTCAATCTCCCCTGCTACAACCCTAAGAAACTCTTTAGATTTACCTATCCTGGATTTCATATAAAGAAAACCACAACAAAACAAAACCACAACAAAACAGAAACTTAGTATAAATTTAAAAAATGGGTCAAAAGGGAAAACGAAAGATAAGATGTTAAAATTTAGCCTAACCATATCTGCCTTAATTCACTTTCCAATGCACTCCGAGAGCAAGGCTTTTCACTTCCCTGGTCAGTGGTTAAAGGGGATTCACTGGAGCCTTGGTACACACGGGGACTCTACAAATGAATTTTGGACGTTCGCTGTCATCCACATCCTTTTGCAAAGCAGATCCTCAGAATCTAAGCTTTAGTACAATTCTGTCCTTCAGTCTCAGATTTTTTTATTTACAATCCTTGAATCATACAAGTGGGTATGCATCTTCTGTGTGGACTTCCTGACACCTCAGGTAGATGGCTGTTCTAAGACCCCAGACACTATTCTTTCTGATAGCCAGGCACCATCTGATATCTTCACCACACTTTACTAGGGCAAACATAACTTAAGTGGTCTCTTCATGAGGGTGAGGAGGGAGCCACATTATAATTAACATTATTATATAGTTTTGAACATTTTCAACCTTTTAAAAATTTTTTCTAATTTAGAATAAGTAATTCCTGTACTTGTTCATGCTATATCCTTACTAGCATTATACCTTATGAATTACATTTATAATGTCATCTTTTTTCTTTATATTTAGTGTGTCATTGTATAGGTAAATGGTCTTTTTAATATTAAGCAGCAAGTGGTCAATATATAAAACTTAAAATTTTAGAAATCAGTTATAGTTACTTCTAGTGTCACAGTCAATTGAGTGAGAACATCTGTAGTTGAAACAAAATTTTAAAAATCTTAAATGTTGCAAATCTTGTTGGGAAGTTAGGGAAAAGGTAAGTATGTTAATCGGTACATGGGTTTTCAAAAAGTTGATGAGAAAATTCCCTGATCTTTGAATTGCATTTTTTACCCACTTTTTGAAGCCCTCTTGGATGATAATAGGTGAAGGAAAATAAAAACCACCATGAATTTAACAAGAGAGAGTCCACTGTGTCCCATGAAAGGAACCGTGTGGGTGAAGTAGGTGGCTGCCGGTGGCCGGGTGAGGGTCGTACCTACCAGGTGCTGGTGGCAGATGTGGGCTGCTTCTGTGAAGGTTTGCTGCATTGCCTAGGCTGCCCCTGTGGGGCACTTTTATTGCTAAGCTCTGTTACTGCTCATGTGTGGACTCTCAGCGGATATGTGTGTACACTTGGTGGTTCCATGATGATCTAACTTAGCTTTTTCTTCCCTGAAGTTGTTACGTTATATGCCACTCTGGGAGGCCCAGCGATTGTTCATGGATTAAACGAAACAGAGGTGACCAACATCATTACAAGTAAAGAACTCTTGCAGACAAAATTGAAGGTAAGGAACTGTTATTATTTTCTATCTGATATTTCTGACACGAGCCCTGCGCTTATTAATACCAAGTTCTTTCTTTTAACTCAGTAGATTTGTAAGTGGTTAGGGTTGTCATAATTTTTTCTTTTCTAAGTGAAAGAAAATAACATTTCATATATCCTGAGTTGTGTCATCCATAAAATTGCATGTTATAGCCAATATGCCTACCTCTTAAGTTGAAGCAATTATGGCTTCTTCTCTTCTGTGTTATTTTGGAGAGCTATTTTAAAACTGGTTATTTTTAACCAATTGCATTGAATTCTCAAAATTGTTTCATAAGGAATAACAGTTTCTTTGGTGTCTATGCAGCTCTCTGGAAAACTCAGAAGGACATTTGGCTGCCTGAAAACTGCAGCCTAGAAAACCCTGTGGGGCATTTTACTTTGTCACATGTGATTGCTGTGAGTCACCAGCACAGGGCAGCGGAGTGTCCCTCAACCTGTCTTTACACGCCAGTTGTGCAGGGTGTACCCAAGGGTACATAGGAAATCGAATACTATAAAACAGTCTTTTCAATTTTAGGCCAATATTTTTCCATCAGCAAAAGTGGTATTTACACCCAGTGCACTGGTGTGCGTGTGTGTGTGTGTGTGTGTGTGAAATTACTTTCATAATTCACTGACCACAAGAAAGGTCCGTAGGTTCAGGATTATTGGCACACATAGGCTGTCTGGAGACTGTTGAAGGAAATGGTTCCTGTTTGTGTTTCTCCAGGATATTGTTTCTTCAGTGCCGCGCCTGCGCCACATCATCACTGTCGACAGCAAGCCACCAACCTGGTCAGAATTTCCCAAGGGAGTCATTGTGCACACCATGGCTGCAGTGCAGGCTCTGGGGTCCAAGGCGAGTTTAGGTATGTCAGGGTGTCTGCTTCTCCTTCTCTGTGGACACTGCCACCTTCTGGCCACACAGATGATTTCAGATTGGTGGCAAACCAGGTTTCTAACTTGTTGTGTTGGGAACTAAGGTTACTTAACTCTAGTAGGTATACTTTTAATTGAGCCTTTAAAGAAAAGCTTGAAGGAAAAAAAACCTCAAAATAGTATTAATGTTACAAGAATAGAATGTAATTGAAATTAACTCAGGTACCTTTCTTCTTTTTCATTGGAGTTTAGTTTGCAGTTAGACAAGCTAGAAGCTGGAAGTGCTCGGTTCTGCTTGTAGCCATGGCACCCCAGGAACAGTCAGGGAGGCGGCGGTGGAGGCTGGCAGGATGGATGGAAGGAGTGATTAGAAGATTAAGAGGAATTAAAGATTGTAAATAGTTCTTGATACATACTCTGGGGTGGATGAGAAGGAAAGGCAGTACCTAGGGGACACATTACAAACTTGTCCTCTACATCTGTGAAGTCCTCAGGTAGGTTGGTTCCACGATCACTTGAGACTGGGGTCCTTCAGTGCCATCGCTCGCTGCAGCTGTTAATGCCTGCCTCCAGGCAGCTCCCCTTGAGCTTGCATGCTTTAACCAGGACCCTGAGTACCATCAAGTGACGGCCACCATTGTGGGACAGGGATAGGCTTTTTTTTTTTAGCAAATTGTCTCATGTTCGAGCCAAGCCACCATTGTTTGTTTACTGTTGTTGACTTACAGGAACAACCTTTTGTCCATATTTCCTTTCTTTCCTTTATGAAGTAGCCTTACAGAAGCCACAGTGATATTTGTCACAGATGATGACAAACCCCTAGTCAAAGTGACATTGCTTTCCATCCTTGAAGTTTTAAAATTCAACCTTGAAGATCTTGTGAGATTGGCCCCAGTTGCTCCTTCCCTTCTCCCAGTAGCAGTTGCTATCATCTTCTTACCCGTGGGACTGTCCTTTTTGTCATTACTTTCATTGTAGATTCTTCTGTCTCTTTCCCAGTAGCACATGTATTCTCCATAGGTGCTAGGCTTGACCTCTTTGTGATCCCTGGATGACTATAAAAGGAGCCCTGGTCATTTCATGGCTAAAGGCGTGGCTGCTCACTGGAAGGTCATTGATTTAAGCCAGTGGTTCTCAACCTTCCTAACGCCGTGACCCTTTAATATGGTTCCTCATGTTGTGGTGACCCCCCAACTATAAAATTGTTTTCGTTGCTACTTCATAACTGTAGTTTTGCTTCTGTTCTGAATTGAGCGACCCTTGTGAAAGGGTTGTTCGACCCCCCCAAATGGGGTTTCGACCCAGAGGTTGAGAACCGCTGATTTAAACTCACCAGTTGTTTCTCGGGAGAACGATATGGCAGTCTGCTTGAGTCAAGGTAATACTGTAGAAACCCCATGGGGTAGTCCTGTTCTATCCAAGAGGCCGCTGTGAGTCAGAATTGACTTGACACGGCAATGGTTTGTGTTTTTTGCTACGGAATGACCACAGTCAGTATTTCTTGAATTAACAAATAGTTGAAGAAAAAAAATCAGTGATGTGGCTTAATTTCTTAGAAATGTGTGTGTATGTTTCTTTCTTCCAAATACAGAAGACAGGCTGAAGTGCAGACCGCTCCCCTCGGATATTGCAGTGATCATGTATACTAGTGGGTCCACAGGTTTGCCCAAGGGCGTCATGATCTCTCACAGCAACATCATTGCTGGGATAACGGGGATGGCAGAACGCATTCCAGATCTGGGGTACGTCACAATCAGCCATGCTTGGGTGGTGGTGGTGGGATGGGGGCGGGGGCGGTGTTTGGCACTATTGATCGTTGTGCCTTTCATTTCTGAGTAGTTCCCTAAGTCACTTTGCCAAAAGCATTTCCTTTAGAAAAAAAATCACATTAAAATTAATCATAAAAGATTTAAAACTGTGGTTTAATTATAGACCGTCATTATTAAAAATTATTGCTTTAAAAACTCACATTTTAAGTGCCTGTAATTGTAGCTGTAAATTCTTTAAATTATTTTGATCAGATGGTGGTGTTACCCCTGTAGCTATTTTTATACCTAAATGTTTTATAATCTAGGTCGTTTCTCAACCTGGGGGTCAAACGACCCTTTCACAGGGGTCGCCCAATTCATAACAGTAGCAAAATTACAGTTATGATGTAGCAACGGAAATAATTTTATGGTTGTGGGATCACCACCACATGAACTGTATTAAAGGGTCTCAGCATTAGGAAGGTTGAGAACCCCTGATCTAGGTGAATCTGTAACTCAAGTACTTCTTGAACACTTCTGTGTTTATCGTCTCTAATTTTAAAAAAAGAGAGTATTTTAAAGACAAACTCCAGCAGTAGCATAGCTGGGCATGTGGGGGATTGGAAAGGAAATTGTGCCTGAGGCGGAGTCATGACCTGGTGACTGATCTGATCTGGTGCAGGGGCTGGATCATTACCCAGAGAGAAAGAGCCCTGGTGGTTTAGTGGGTCGTGTTGGACTGCTCACTGCAAGGACAACGGTTGGAACCTACTAGCTGCACTGTGGGAGAAAGAAGAGGCTTTCTGCTGCTGGACTGCAAGGGTCAGCAGTTTGAAACCACCAGCTGCTCGGAGGGAGAAAGATGGCTTTCTACTCGGAAAAAGAGTTTCAAACCTTCAGGGCAGTTCTACCCTGGCCTGTAGGGTTGGAATCGACTTGATGGCAGTGGGCTTCGTTTTGGTTTTCTGCACATTCTTTTTTGGTTTGCTTAGTCGGAGTTACTATGGGATTAAACCTGATGATGGAAACAGAAAGGTTCTGCTTATGTATGGGAAACATTCTGAAAAAATGATAAGCAACTATCAGTTTGCCTCTGTGGCTGATCATATTTTGGAGGTGGAGAAGTGCACTTATGTGCACATGCAGTCACATTTCTTAAGATAAGACTTAAAAAAATATGGTTTACTATTTACCATGCAGTCCAACTCGTAAGTACAGGAACTTTTGTACGATCATGGCAGACAGTTTTGGGGATGGGGGTGGTCTATTGAAGCCCTGACCAAGGTCAGCATTTCAAGATCACCAAGTTGCTCCTTGAGAGGAAGTTGAGGCTTGCTGCTCTCGTAAAAATTTAGTGTTAGAAACTCACAGTTCTGCTCTGTCCTAGAGGGTCACTATGAGTTGAAATTGAGAATTGAGAACTACAAAGACCCATTTTCTCCTTGAATGATTTATACTTTTGTTCAAAAGAAGGCTTCATTTTTCTCCCAGGCCCCACTTTTTCTGATCTGAGAGGATCTCCAGTGGCACAGCAGTTAAGCGCTCACCCAGCTGCTCACTGAAAGGGAGATGATTCAACCCATTAGCCATTTGAAGGGAGAGAAGGATGAGCTGTCTCCTCCCGCAAAAATGTACAGTCCTGGACACAGTCGCTGTCGCTCCACATTGCCTCCAGTGCAGTGGGTTTCCTTGGTTTGGTTCAGGCAGGACTGCCTGCCCTGCACTTGGAGCTCACCACTCCTCTCTTAGTGTCTGCCTCATCAGCTTTATCTTGAGCTGTAGTTAGTACCTCCATTGCCCCATTGCCCAAGCCACACTCACATGCACACATGCATGCCACCAGCAAGCCTGATGGATGCCTGGTGGGCCCTTTCCCAGGCCTTTTCCAGCTTTTTTTGTGCGTGTGTGTATGTATTGTGCCTGTGAGGTTGCACAGACTTGTCCTTCATTACAGTCCCTCTTCTGTCACTGCACAGAGCTGCTCACGTCTGCCTTTCCTTTTAGAGAAGACGACGTCTATGTGGGATACCTGCCTCTGGCCCATGTTCTAGAATTAAGTGCTGAGCTTGTCTGCCTTTCACATGGATGCTGCATTGGCTATTCTTCACCACAGACATTAGCCGACCAGGTACATACCTCAAAATAAAAAACCAATTATGATTTTTAACAATTAAATTTTTCCCTTTAAGCATGACATATCATAAAAGTGCAATTGTTTATTGGGAAATAAGCATTCCTTTTTAAGGGTGTAAGGAGCCATGGTGTCTCAGTAGGATAAATGTTAAAACCCACCGGCTGTTGCATGGGAGAAAGAGGATCCTGTCTGCTTGTGTAAAGGTTTAGAGTCTTGGGAACCCCAAAGCACAATTCTGCTCTGTCCTCCAGTGTTGCTGTGGCCCAAATCAACCCCATAACTTGTGCTCTGTTTCAGTGTTTATTTAGATATAAATAAAATTTTAAAATGATGAATTTGATATATTCTCTGATCTAAGAATGCTGTTGACTTTTAAAATTAAGAATTACTTACACAGATAATTTTCTCTTTCTAGTCTTCAAAAATAAAAAAAGGGAGCAAAGGAGATACATCTGTGTTAAAACCTACACTCATGGCAGCTGTCCCGGTAAGATTGACCACCATTTAATATTGAATGCTAAAGAGCTTTGTTGGCATTTGCTACAGAACAACAGTAATGCTAGCGGAAAGGATATTGGTGTCAAGGTACTCAATGCAGTGTTTATTCCTAATTGTTCTGTATTGCCTTAAGCCCTGTAGGGTGTATTCGCTCTTAGTTTAGCTTTAAATTTAAATCTTTATTTACTAAATATTCAACTTTGTTTCACCTTTTGGGATATTATTTACTCCTTTCCCTGAACTGCTTGTTAAAATCATGTTCATGCTTTATCTGTAGAAAGCTGAAGCCCGTGGGAAATGGGGGTCAGTTTTGAGGTCACCCCTTCTGAGTGAGTTGTATAATTTCTGAGCTCTCAGGGAACAGCTGGCCTAGACACCAAAAAAGCAGAGAAGCAGGCACAGTATGGAGTTATCCAGTGGGGGCTGTGCAGTCTTTTCCAGCCTGGGGTGTAGAGCAATGTGGAAATCGGCCAGCCCTGGCTTTCTGGCTCCTACTCTGGCTTTTCTATTATGTTTGAAAAGTATCGAGGACTCATATTATCAGGGACTTGAATGCTAACAGTCAAGTGTAGTTACTTGCTTATTTATTCCAGATCAAATATGGAGTTGTGGTGTTTCTGTAGAAATAGAGTTTAGTAAATAGTAGCTTACTTCATACTCTGTAGTTCAGCTGAAAATTACATGTCATTTAAAATTATAAAGTAACAAATACTTAAGTCATTAAAGTATACTTCACTGTAATAATCATAGCCAGCAACATGTGAATGCCCACAAGGAGCCTTTCCAGGGTGCAGTATTAAATCCTGAACAAATCCATGGTCCTTTTGTGAGCAAAGAATCTGGCAACCTTATATAAGATCAAGTTGTGAGGGTCTAAAAACCAGCTCAGTGTTCGAATTAGTAAGAAATGAGCAAAGCATTATGCACTCAGTAATGGTCTGTTCCTTCTCTAAGGCTTTTGTTTCTTCTATTTCTTAGTCATGTTTGTGTCTAGAGGTCTTTTGCTATCAAAACAGTTTGTTGTCAGAGCTCTCATTCTCAAACTAATTGTGGTATCCTTTGAAACCTTTGGTCTTAATAGAGCTTTTAAAAAGATACTTTAGTGAGAAATGTAAACCTGATGTTACGATAGAAAGGCAACTATATTAACACCTTTTTGTGTGTCCAGGAAATCATGGATCGGATCTACAAAAATGTCATGAATAAAGTGAATGACATGAGTAGTTTTCAGCGCAATCTATTTATTCTGGCCTATAATTACAAGATGGAACAGATTTCAGAAGGACACACTACTCCACTGTGTGACAGGTAAGCGCTGGTCCTTTCTCTTGGTCTCGCTCAGTCAGAGCCTGGCTAAATGAAGGAGCCGTAAGACAGAATTCATCTTAAAAAGTCAAAAGAACATCCCCCCCACCCCGCTCCCCGCAACTCATAGTAGTTTATTAAAGGAGGAAAAAAGTAATTGTGTGTGTGTGTGTGTGTGTGTGTGTGTTCCATACCCTGAAAACAAATCTCACTTTTCACACTTCTTTCCATCCTGAGGTCTCATGCACGGTAACTTGGATTCTGCTATCAAAAGAACTTTTAAAAATATTTTTAGCAGAAAAGAATGAGAGCACTTAAAACAAAATAGCCGTATTTTTGGAAGAACTATTTTCAGTTACAACTTTGCTTTAGGTGCTCATATTTTCTTTGGTTTTTGTATGGTTTTAATCCCTTGGAGCAGTCATTTTCTATTTGCGTTTAAGTTTATTCAAAACTAACAGAAATGCTACCCTACAAGTTTGTGTTTACATTTTGACCAGTTTCACCCCAGGCCTTATGATTTTGCAGTGCTAGGAGCCATCCACCTGTGAATATGGGTTTTGTTGTGGATATTTTTACATAGCCTGGTGTGGCTGCTGCCTGTCTGTCCATCAGGACAGTGGAACACACAAGACAAAGTCATAGGGACTTCTCAGACAAAACTAAACACCTCATTAGACAAGCTCCTAGTCTGAAGGGCTAATGGACCACATGCACCACAGCCTACGTTACCCCAAGACAAGAACAACTAGATGGTGCCCGGCTACTACTACCAAACCCACTGATGGGGATCTTAACAGAGAGTCCCAGGCAGAGCGGGAGAAAAATGTGGAACAACAGATGAGATTCTCATGAAATTGGAGAGACCCCAAGAGACGCTTAAGGCCTGGAACTGAAGTGATCCCAGAGACTGCGTTTCAGCCAGAGCATTGGCCCATGAGATAGACAGTTACACCGAAGAGAGATAGGTTCCTTAGAACGGGCAGTTCGTTATATGAGATCAAAAGGACATTTTCCCAAAAGCGGGCATGAGAGGGCAGGGAAGAGTAGAAAATGAAGAGGAAAGGAAATGGGGACCTCAGGGCAGACAAGAAGAGCCTGCTGACATATGTATTTGGGAAATGCTACCAGTTTTTTGGTATGTTTCTGTACAGATTACTGAAAGGGAAACAAATTTATTCTGCAAACATTCACCCAAAGCACAATTAAATTAATGAATAAAAACCTGCCACTTCATTTGCAAAATTACTTAAAAATAAAAGGATTGCACCCCTTTAATCAAGGCAATAAGCAATCTATTTTCTTAATGTGTTTTTAAAAGGAAATATAACAATTACTCGCCCCGATTATTGTTTATTTTCCTAGTTCCTCATAGATAATTTACCAGACTTTTTAAAAGATGATAAACACTTCTGAACTTATATTAGTAAAAATTTACTGAAGTGCAATATATAAATATAAACACATTTCTAATAAAACATGCTAAAACAAATGTTGATTTAATTTTATGAAGACAGTGTTTAGTATTAACACACTATACATACATACATACATACATACATACATAACTGTATAGTAAAAGTTATGGAACCTGGTGGTGTAATGGTTTCACATTGGGCAGTGATCTACACCGTTAGCAGTTTGAAACCACCAGCAGCTCTTTTCAAGAAAGACTGGGCTTTCTACTGTAATCAGCGAGTTACAGTTTCAGAAACCCACAGGGTGGAGGGTTACTATGAGTCACCATTGACTTGATGGCAGTGAATTTGGGTTTTGGTTATAGTAAAAGTTACTCTGCTGGCCTTAGCTAGGTTCTTCGTTATACAAAAACCAAACTTCCAAACTTGGAGGTCAAATACAAGAGGGCTTAATAAGTGTGGGAAAATGGCATTAAAAAACGAAATTTCTCTGTGAACTTTTTGAAACTCTTGTTTGTATTACTTGGAAAACTTGTTTTCCCCCCCATAAAAATTACTGTGCTATAATATATAATAAAAATGGTTATTCTCACCATTTTAAGTGTCAAACTTTTACAGAAATTCCCCAGGAGCCCCAGCCCCTCATGACCACTGTTACACAGTTTTCCTTTTCCAGGCCTTCTCTGGAGAAGGTTCTCGTGTGTCTGACATTTCTACGTATTCCAAGGTTCATCCATGTGATAGCCTGTGTCATAGCTTCATTTGTTGTCCCTGGACGAGTAGCATTTGTACAAGGGAGCTTCAAAAGTTTGTGGGGGAAATTTTAATTCCTTTTTTTCTGTGAACTGTTTGGAGCCCTTTGGCATGTACTTGAAAACTTTTTAGGAGGAAATCACATGACGGGGCTTCAAAAAGTTTGTGGAGAAATTCCATTGTTTTTCAGTTCCCTCTGCTCTCCTTCCTTATCCACTTGTTAGCTGACTGAACTATTAGTAGTATTTAAGATGGAGGCAGTGGGGTTAAGAGAATCTCCTGAATGATCTCTATGACTTGGAATAAGTTATTTCATTTGAAAATCTCATCTAGCAAGATTGGATCCTAAAGTGATTTGGAACATTCTGCCCAGCTTTTTCAACTCTTGTGATTCTTGGATTTTTTGTTTAGGTTTGTTTTCCAGAAAGTACGGAGCTTGATAGGTGGAAACATCCGGCTTCTCTTGTGTGGAGGAGCTCCGCTCTCTGCAACCACACAGCGGTTTATGAACATCTGCTTTTGCTGCTCGGTGGGGCAGGGCTATGGCCTCACGGAGTCAGCTGGGGCTGGCACAATCACAGAAGGTGGGTGTTGTCCCGCAAACATGTACCTAAGGTGTTTGTGGAGGAGAATCATGGTAAATTCCTGTCAAGGTTGAGAAAGGTAGGTATTCTGTATGATGACAGGCCTTGGCCATGGTAAAAATTCATCTCGGAGGGTTTTACAGGCTGAACCCATACATGTAGTGCTACAAACTATCAGCACCCTGGAGAAGAAGCGTGAATAACATGTCTTGCACATTTTTCTCACAATCAGTTAATACACTTCTTTCCCTGTAGTAAAACAAACATGCTTTTGTTTGGTTCTGTTCTGTAGGTGTGGGCGCTGAGGCTTACGTGAGGAGCTCTGTGTGGGAGGGGAGAGGTCTGTACGAGTGTAGAGGGAAACTAGATTTGGATGTGGACATTGTAATCAACAGAAGATTCATGGTGACCTGACTTACACCGCTGAGGATCAGCTCTGTACTCCTTCCTGTGCACCTTTGATAGAAAGCTGTGCAAGGCCTGAGGAAATTGTGCTGCTTCTAATCTGTGGTCTACATCTGGCTAGACACTAAACCTTTCTTACCCCATCATCTCCTCCCCCACCTTGAATGCTTCTGTGTACTATCTTGCATTCTTTAATTTCCCCTTTTCTACTCTGTATTTATCTATCCTACCTCTAAATCTCATTTTCCCAAGAATAAGCAATATCAAATTTATGGTTCCTTCCTTCTAGGAGCTCCAATTCTGTTGTAAAAATGTGCATAGTATGTGGGAGTAATCAGTTACAGTTGAAGTATTAGAGAGCAGCCTTTTATTCCTGACACCTGATCAATTTTTGAAAGGGAAGCAAACAATGCATTAGTAATTGATAATAGAGGTCGGTTCTCCTCCTGAATATTGGGAATCAAATATCTCAGTCTCAGCCTGGTGTTAGTGTGTGACTGTATGTTGGGTGCGAGAACATTAGTGGCTGTGAGGGGAGGGGGAGGGGTGGTGGTTGTGCAGTGTCAGGCCTGGGGGTGTGGCGGAGGTGGGTAGGTACAAACCACTGTGGCCACAACCCTTGAAGAAAGCCGTTAGAGACTCACGAACCAGGCGGCTACTTCTATGGATGAAACTGGCCTTGGTGTGAGGACATGTGAGGGGAGTGGAGCTGACGTGCCCACATAAAGGAACCCTCTGTTGTTAAGGTGCTGGAAATTGAGGCCCCCTGGCCACCAGTCCTTTCTTAATACGGTGGTAACTAATTCAAGTTTAAAATAAACAATGAGTCAGCATTGACTTGAGTTTGGGTTTTTTCTTTAAGGGACCAAACAGTGCATCCACACAAGTCACACCGCTTTTTAAACAGTTCGTTCATTCAATTTTCAAAGGTTCTTGGGGGATCTTTAAGCGTGTGATATATCATCTTAGTAATTTAAGAAAACAAAGCAGTTTATTAATGTGTTACTATTATTTCAAGCACATTTTTTCCTCTTTTTAGTGTGGGACTATAATACTGGCAGAGTGGGGGCGCCGTTAGTTTGCTGTGAAATCAAGTTAAAGAACTGGGAAGAAGGTAATGACCCTTTCTAACCAACATGACGCTGAGTTTCTGTAATATTAAACTTTTACATTAGAGTTGGGCATCATTTTTTTATCTTTCCTTAGAATATATAGTCACCCCTGGGCACCCTTCTTAAGATGGAGATATTTTTTGGAGGACTATATGAATACATTTATTTTGCTTTATTCAAAGATCGTTTCAAATAATTAGTATTTTTATTTTATTGCATAAATGCAGGTCAGAATTGAGGAAAAAGTAAATGCACTTACTATTAATGACAATAGTTTTTCTAGAAATGAAATAATAAAATTTGTCTTATGAAGCTGAGGATCCTTTTATTGGCTTCCCATTTTTATTTCTCTCGAGAGACTTCAATTTAGGATTTTCAGAATGAAATTCACCAACATTCCATTAAAGCTCTTCTACTTTTCAATTTAAATGTCCGTCACTTAAAAAACAAACCACTTATGTATGGTTTTTTGGGGGGGGGGTATATCCTCTTCACAAAGTAAAGATGCTAAGGCTCATCTGCCATTTCAGCTGACTTTTAGCAGAATTAGGGAAAATTTTCAGCAAATTTTAGCTTTAAGAGTCATCTTGAAATTATAAGGAATAAATAAAATACCGGCTTATGGGACTTTCATTTTATTCAGAGGTTTCTTCTGTGTCCATGCATGAATCTAATACCTTCTTCAGTCTATTAGTATAATATCAAAGAATCTTTTTTTAAAAAATCACCTGTGTAGTATTTCACATCGCACACCAGGGTGGGAATCTTTTTTTTCTGCCAAGGGCCATTTGGATATTTATAACATCATTTGTGGGCCATTCAGAATTAACAGCTTAAAAATGAGCCTGCTGTGTTTGGTCAGACATTTAAGTAACTCACCCCAAATGTGATAGCTGAAACTGCTTCTCTGGTGAGGTGTGTGACATTAGCTGGTATTGATAATTTTTCAGATCTGTGCGCTGGACACCCCCCACTCATGCCCTAGATGGAGGAGGAGTCCTGGTGGCACAGTGGGTAACGCATCCAGCTGCTAACTGGAAGATCAGGGCTTTGAACTTACCAGTTGCTTTGTGGGAGAAAGATGTGACAGTCTGCTCCCATAAAGATTTACAGCCTTGGGAACCCTATGGGGCAGTTTTACTTTGTCCTGTGTCTTGTGAATTGAAATTGACTGAACGGCAGTGGATTTTTATAGATAGAAGATGCTGGATTTTATTAGATTTTTTTTCTTGGAATAGTGCTTTTTATGCTTATTGCTAAGTGATTGGAAATTTGTACCATGTTTCGTGTTTTCAAGCTTTGTATCTGCCTTGTGTCTTGGGGAAATTAATTGGATTCAAATAAGAGATATTATTAGAAACTAATGGCTTAAGTGTTCACATATATTTCGATGAAAGGACTGAGTCAATAACTTATGTGCATTAGGTGGATACTTCAATACTGACACACCACATCCCAGGGGTGAGATTCTTATTGGTGGCCAGAATGTGACAATGGGATACTACAAGAATGAAGCCAAAACAAAAACTGATTTCTTTGAAGATGAAAATGGACAGAGGTGGCTGTGTACTGGTGACATTGGAGAGTTTGACCCGGATGGCTGTTTGAAGATCATTGGTGAGCCAGTTAATTCTGGTTTGCATGTCAATGTTCCTGATACCATTGCATAAAGTAGAGTTGATGTAGACAGAGAAACCGTGCAATCATGTGAAACTGTTGGTGTGGGCTCTGCATCACCCTGGATCTGGAAGCTTGTAGCATGATTTGTATTAGAATTCTCAAATGATTCAACAATACTGGCGTTTTAAATGCATACTTGTTGTGAAATGCCATCAAATCCATATTAGGTAATTTTTAAGAGTGGAATTATTTCCTGCTCCTGTCTGTGGCCCACTTACCTCACCCTGCCTCTCAGGTGCTTTCTCAGTTACTGACATTTTTGTCCACATCGTGCTTATGAAGGACTTGGGGGCTGACAGAGACATCTCCCCCATTGGCTTCCCATGCCTAATCCGTAGCCTCCTGAGTCTCATGTACAATACACTTCAAAACCAGCTTCTTCCTTCTTTTCTCTGCCCCCTCACTTGATGGTAGGTCTGGCCTTCGCCTCTGTCACCTGGACTGTCGTGTGCATTTCTCTCTGTTGCCATGCTGGCGGCCTTCTCATTGCCGCCTGTGGATTCTAAACACTGACCTTGTTAGGTTACTTTCTTGCTGAAAACCTTTCTGTGGCTCCTAAGTTCAGTTCGGAGCATGTTAATTCTGTGGCCCATGTTCACCTCTCTCTCCCCTGTCACTTCCAGCTGCTACCTTCTCATTTCATGCACTTCAAGCTGACATGCTACTTCTGGGCCTTTGCCAGGGTGGTTCCACTTGACCACCTATGTTGTCCCTTTAAGGCACAGCTCAGGTCTCACTCCCAGGAATTCTTTTGAATCCCCACATTGGTGAGTGAACGCGTGTTATGTGCATAGCAACTTGGTGTACAATAGAGCAACACACTGCCCAGTTGTGCCATCCTCACAATTGTTGCTTGAGCCTTTATTTATAACTCCATCTTGTTTTTTGTCCACATCTTTGAGGGTCTTCCTCCTTTTCTCTGACCGTCCACTTCATAAAGCATGAAGTCCCTTTCCAGGGTCTGGTCTTTCCTGATCCCATGTTCAAAGTACTTGCGGTGGAGTCTCATTATCCTTGCTCTTAAGGAGCATTCTAAAGGTAGTTTTCCCCAAATAGATTTGTTTATTCTTCTGGCAGTCCATTGTTCACCAACAGCATAAATGTTAGGAATTTTTCTGTCATCTATCTTTCACATGCTTATGAGGCCACTGAAAATAGTCTGGCGGTGTCAGTGCTGTCACACTCAACGTTTTTGCATCATGCAACTCTCCAGAGTAGGACCCGTTGACTATTTCAGTCACTGGCTCAGTTTATGACCTTAATGTTTAAGTCAAAAAAGTAGTTTTTCTGTTTAAAAAAAAAATGCATTTGATAGTATAAAAATTAGGGTGTACTTTTATTCTGGTCATTATAATGAACCTAATCAGCAGCCATTATTTAGGGAATGGGCAATATTTATGTGCAGTGAAGTATTATTCTCATTTATTCGCTTTCTTCCTCTCCCTCCTTTCCTGTTCTGCACAGATCGTAAAAAGGACCTTGTAAAACTCCAGGCAGGAGAGTATGTGTCTCTTGGGAAAGTAGAAGCTGCTTTGAAGAATCTCCCACTAGTGGACAACATTTGTGCGTATGCAAACAGGTAAGGAACTTAAGTTGTATGAAAACATGGGCTGTGCTAATTGGTATTAACTGCCTTTGTGGGCCTGTGTGATCCCTGGTGGCGCAGGTTGTTGGGCATTGCATTGCAACCACAAGGTTGTTGGTTCAAACCTACCAGCTGCTCCACAGAAGCAAGATGAGGCTATATTTTTCTAAAGAGTGACAAATTGTAGGGAGCAGTTCTGCTCAGTTCTATGTGGTTGCTGTGTGAGTTGGAATTCAGTCAGTGGCAGTGAGTTTGGTTATGAGCCTTCTTTGTAAAATTGCTCCAAGGATTCTTTTTTTTTTTTTTCCAGTGACAGATTTTTTTTTATATTTAAAAACAAAACCAACCTCCCCCCAAATAGCCCCCCAAACAAACAAAAAACCAGATTAAATAAAATGTACTGTAAATATACCCAGCAAACATCTGTATGTGCAATTAAATACTGTGTCTGTTACTGTGGCACAGCTTCAAACAATAGACAAGTGTTCTGGGGCAGGAGGAGGCCCGTGGGAAACTCTGGGGTGTTGGGGGACAAGATGGGGGAAGTAAGAGGGAGGGGAAATCAATTTCGTTTTTCTTAATTCTGTCCATATAAATATATTCATAAAGACCAGAAAAGAAAAGGGAGCTTGGGATGATAAGGAAATAGGAGAATAGGGAGTATGGGACCCTCCTAATTCTACCTGGCCAAAAAAAGGGAGAAAGAAACGTAATTTGATGGTGGGAGAAGAGATATACAACATGATAGAAGAGGATGGGAAAGAGAGGGAGGCGAGAGGAGCTGGCCAGGGCCACAGCGGCATCAAGGCGGCCATTGCACTGCGTCAGTTCTCATCGTCGTCCATACAGTCTGAGGCTCCAGTTTGGCCTCGTCTCCCTACTTCCTGCCTGGGCCCCCGGTCGGTCTGGGTCCTGTGCTGCTCCTTCCCATCTCCGCTCACTGGGAGCTGGCTCGCTCCAGGTCCTCAGGTCATAGTTCGTTTTGGCCACTCGAAGTTTGAAGCGACTCACGGAGTTGTTGAGGCGAAGGGAGGCATTCTGGGCGGCCAGGGGGCTGCCCCAAGGATTCTTAGTGGTTGGCTCTGGGAATGGCCTCTTTGAACTAGTCATCTGGGGATTATTTTCCGTGATGCCTCCCCTCTGCCCCGGTTTTCTTCATCACGCTCAGCATTGTGTCTCTGTGGTGGGGAGGAGATGGGAGAAAACAACAACCCTGCTTTCTTCTTGCTGCTCTCTGCCTGCTCAGCAGAGCACCAGCGAACCAGCCAGGACAGATGAAGGGAAGAAGGGCTGTTGGAGCAGTGCCTGGCTCCGTTCTTCCCAGTCACCTGTTTTCTACTTGCGTCTGCTTGGGACCTTGTCCTGGCCTGGGGCTCCCAGGTGCAGTGAAGCATGGAGAGTTCCTGATCCAGGACCACACAGAGGCAGCTGAAGAGCAGAGCTTCCAGCCAAATCCCAGAAATGCTGTTTTTAGGGAATGTGTGAGAATTTCAGATGCAAACCCTGCCTGTTTGGTTTTTTTTCCTGTAACAACCTTGCACTTGGAAATTTTTCTCTAGTGTTATTGAACAGATATTTTCTGGGCTGACCTAAGATCCTGACATCTTTAATTTTGGGGAGAAGATCCAATTTAAAAACAGGCTTTGGGGTGCAGACCAAGTGAAAGATTAACTGCTACTGACTTGAAAATTGACCTGCCTTTTGAGTAGCCATTTTACATAGTTTTAGTCATGTTGGAAGTCAGTCTGGGCTGTATTTTATGACACTATCCTGAACTATTTATAATCTGCTGCCTTTAGTGAAAGATTAGTTATTTTTTAGTGGCTTTCAGAAAAGTATGTTTCCACAGGTGCGCCGTATTTGGCATTCTCGCAACACAGATTTTGATGACATCAACAAGAAAAATGGTTATGGTCAAGATATCTTGATTTTCTGCCATATAATTTTAGCTAGAGTTTTTAGACACTCAGTAGTGACTTTTTAACATAAGCAGTGGCATATCCTCGTGGAAGGAGTCTTGGTGGTGGTGTTGGTTACCCATAGAGCTCCTGACTGGAAAGTCAACAATTTGGGCTCGCCAGCTGCCAGTGGGAGAAAGATGAGACTGTTTGTTCTTGTAAGGATTTATCGCCTGGGAAACCCTAGGCCCCTGTCCTGTAGGGTCATGTGAGTTGGAAAATCAACTTGATGGCAATGGGTTGGAGTGGGAGAATGCATTATGATATTTTTAAAAGATGATTTTAAAACGTATAGTAATATCCATAATAGTTCTGCATGGTTGAAATTTATGTCATGAAATAAAAGATGGATTTTTTTCTAAGCAGTGAAATGTTCTGCCCCCAAACATTGGAACCATCTCAGTCATTCTCTCTGTCATTGAGTGGATTCCTACTCAGAGTGACCCCGTAGGATGAGTGGAACTGCTCCTGTGGGTTATTGAGGCTGTACTTTTTTATGGGGAGTAGCAGCTGTTGATTTTGAACTGCTGACCTTCTGGTTAGTAACCCAATGGGGAACCACTTGGTGGTTTCAAACCAATAACCTTGGAGCTAGAAGCCCAACTTGTAAACCACTACCATCAGGACTCCTAAATATGCCTTATGCATGCTCAAAATAACTCAGGTGGAATTAATAGTGAATTAACAGCTGCCAGTGTTAATCAAGCAGTTGTGCTTCCTCCGTATTGTGTGTGTGTGTGTGTGTGTGTGTGTGTGTGTGTGTAAGTTCCTTTGCTAAGGTGTCTTTTAATTGTTTCAGTTATCATTCCTATGTCATTGGCTTTGTTGTGCCAAATCAAAAGGAACTGACAGAACTGGCCCGGAAGAAAGGACTGAAAGGAACGTGGGAGGAGCTGTGCAACAGCTGTGAAATGGAGAATGAGGTTCTGAAAGTCCTTTCTGACGCTGCTATTTCAGGTGAGTGTGCTGTGGGACTGACTGGGAAGAGCTGAGGTGGGAGCAGGTGTGTTTAACTGTAGTCCCCTGGTTCTGTTACTCTGCTAGCAAACAGTGACTGTGTTCTGATACTAGTAGAGGGAAGAATATTCTTCTCAAGCTCCTATTCAGATCCCTCTGGGGTCTCACACAGTGTCCACACAGCCAGACTAAAGGTGTCCCCTGACAGCTACAGGCTACCGGAATGTTCTGTCATTGTAACTTTTGTTTCCTGGATTGACCATTTCTTAGTTGTTTTCAAGGGCCTGGCAATCTGAGCCCATAAGACAAAGAATGAGAACTTGCAAGGAATTGTCTTATGGGGGCTAAACAGATCAGAAGTCCACAGGAGTGTCAGATGTGTCAGGAGGCTCCTTCAGGGAGCCTCCTGAAGGAAGCCTTAAAGTCCGGGCCTTAAAGCCTGGCATCTGGGGGAGGTGGGCCCACTGGATTACCTCAGCTGATCCTGCTTACTTACTGATTATAGAATTTAATCTACACAATCACTTCACAGCAACACCTAGATTAGTATAGGAATTGAAGAGCTGGGTCCTTGAGCCTAGCCCGGCTGGCCCGTGACAGTGACCACTGGCGGTTACCCCTTGTCACCTTGGTTCCTATCGCATCTGAAACCACGAGTAATCTCCAAAGAGGAGCACAGACAGCAGACTTGAGCCTGATGCAGTGCAGCTACCCTACTGCCCTGCTACCCCACTACCCCACAGACAACTTGAAAGCACGCTAACTTGCTCCCCAGAAGAGGATGCAGTTTAGGGGCGTTTTTTTGTTTTTGTTTTTTGAAATGCTCCTTCTCTGATACCTTGTAACTTAAATACTGTGATGCACAGTTAACCTTTATTAATACATTTTATGCCATATAACAAAGGAATCAGAAGAAAACACAAATAATTAAAACATAGTCCAACATCACACAAAGGAAGAAATCTTCATAACCATTAAAATTCCCATTTCTCTGACAGCTGGCCCTGTGCTTGCAGCTAATATTCTCTTGCATCCCAGGCTGGCAGGAGAGCAGTGGCAGTGTTGGACCAGGTGATGCTGATGCAGAGCGGAGAGTGTGAGGCGGAAACCCACCTGTCTCCCCGCACTCACCTGCCCAGACCCTGACATCTTCTTAGCCCCTGGTGGGTTCCCTTTAGCCCAGGGGTTCTCAACTTTTCTAATGTTGCGACTCTTTAATACATTTCCTCATGTTGTGACTGCCTAACCATAAAATTATTTTTGTGGCTACTTCATAACTGTCATTTTGCTAATGTTATAAACCGGGCAACCCCTGTGAAAGGGTCGTTCGACCCCCAAAGGGGGTGCGGCCCACAGGTTGAGAACCACTGCTTTAGCTCTAGCCCTTGGGGCAGTCATGTGGGGTCCTTGCATGACAGTACTCTTGTTCTCAATATTTCATCAACCGTTTGGGGAGCACCCTGAAGTCCCAAGAATCTCAAAACTGAAACCCCATGTGTTCTTTTCATGTTTCTTTTTTGGGGTCACATTTAGAATTGGCGCCTCTCTTGTTTCCCAGGGCTACTGTATACTTTATTTTCAGTTGATAAGTTATAAGGGTAAGTGTTAAACTGTTTCCCCTTATTACATTGCTACATAACTCAGAAAGATACTACTTTTTTCAAATGTTTCATGAAGCACTTTTGCAAGTAGTCATTTTGTTCAGTGAATATTTTGTGGAAGAAATACTGGAAAACTTAATCTTATAAAGGAAGTGTGATTTGTGTCAAAGCTGCATCTTCGTCATCATTTTCTCCCTCCGTCCATGACTGGGATGCTAAGTGGTGTGTGTGGGGTCAGGCTTGGGGGAGCCTGCAGAGAGGAACTCCATAGTCAGCGAGCATGCCACCCTCACCTGTTTGACAGCATTGGTTCAGTGTCAGAATGTAACTATTTCCAAAGTCACGGTGCTCTTCATAATAAAGGCCAAGGAAATAAATGGGTATGGAGAGCGAATCCCCTTTGCTTTCCTGCCTCAACCCTGGGCTGCTCTCAGCTTAGTTTGATGCTCTTGTTCTCAGCCTTTGCACACGCTTCTAGAGACTTAGAAGGTTAGCCAGCCTGTGCTTCCACTGGCCTTTTCTTTGAACCTATCAATGTGTTGTTGCAAAATATCTCCTCACCTACACATAGATTTAACTCATTTTGAGTGACTGAATTTTATTCTATCTGCGCCTATATAACATGTAGGTTCTTTTTTCCCGTTTTTCTTTATTGTGGTCTGGGTGAAAGTAAGGCATATAGGATTTTTTTTTTTTGCAATTCATACTTTTCTTTTTAATGTATTAGCAGTGTTTTCAAGGGTTGGTTTTTTTTTTCTTCAAGACCATTAATTCAGTGTTGGCATGGGTGCTCAAAGACTGAGGAAGTTCAACTTGCCAAAGATTTTGTATCTTTTTAATGTATTTTTCATTCCCTCCCCCCCACCCCACGGTCTTAGCAAGTCTGGAAAAGTTCGAAATTCCAGTAAAAATTCGTCTGAGCCCCGAACCGTGGACCCCTGAAACCGGCCTTGTGACAGATGCCTTCAAGCTAAAACGCAAAGAGCTTAAAACACATTACCAGGAGGACATTGAGCGAATGTATGGGAGGAAATAACGACTCTATGTTTTGGCATCTCTTTGCTGCAGTGAGCTGAGATCAAATAGGAAAATACTTGAAATGCACGCCTCCAGCTTCGAGGCTCACTCCACACCTCCTGTTCACCCTCAGCTGTTCTTTCCCGGCAACACCGGCTCTGGCAGGATTAGTAAAATATTAATCAACAAATCTGTGTCGGTCTCTTCTTTCGTCCCCTCACCCTCAGCTCATGCTTCCACCGGTGACTGTCCCCATGTGCAGATTTTCCTGAATCATTGGGGAAGCAGTGATTTTAAAACCTCAAGTTTTTAAACATGATTTATATGTTCTGTATAATGTTCAGTTTGTAACTTTTTAAAAGTTTGGATGTATAGAGGGATAAATAGGAACTATAAGAATTGGTTATTTGGGGGACTTTTTTTACTTACAGTATTTAAAAATACAAGGATATTGATGTGAAATTATGTAGATTTCAACTGCCTGTGAATCAAATCATTGTTGATCAAAATATCTGTTGCTGTGTAATTTTTTGTCATATATGCATTTGAGAGAAATAAATATACCCATCCACATGTTTTAAGAAACTGAGACCTTGTGAAATATATTGCCTGCCATTGTTTGCTTCATGTATATATTTACTTATTTGAACTAATAAAATAGTACATTCTTTGGTACTAAACCAAAACCTATCAAAATAGTAGGAACCCAGGTGATGTTATTAGGTGGACATTGGGCTGCTCAATGCAAGGTTGGTGGTTCAAACCTGCCAGTCACTCCATGTAAGGCAGATGAGGTGTTTTTTACTCCCATAAAGATTTACATATCCATCCGGAGGTTCCAAAACCACATCTGTAGGGTCACTGGGAGTTGGAAATGACTCGGTGGCAGTAGATTCATTTTCCTTTTGCCTGTTACCAAAGTGTCTCAATGTAGTAGTAAAGAATTAAACTCGGGAGTAGAACCTCGGCTCAGGTATCTGCCATTAACAAGTGCAGCCCTTGGTTTTGCGTTTGAAGCCAGGAAGGTAGCCTCACCAAAAAGGAGCAAACCTGACGACGGAATGTTAGAAACAAGAAAATGTCATTGTTTTCTGCCAGTTGACCACATGTGATTGAGTAGTCTGTATTTGTGGGAGTGTTAAGTGTGGGAATCTATCCCCAGTGTGCATATTGTACTTTTTGTCTCGATGGTGTAACCCTATGAGAAAACAGACCAACCCACCCAAAACCTCCCTGCTGTCCAATTGATTCCAACTCCTAATGACTTCACATAACAGGAGAACGGCCCCTCTGGGCTTCCAGACTGGGGGGGTTGAAAGCCTCGTCTTTTTCCCAGGGGCCTGTCGAGAAAGTACATGGAACATTTATTTTCTACAAACCTTTTGAAGCCTCCTTGTAAATCTCCTTTCAGAATTGGAATTTTTTTCACCACCTATTGTGATTGGGTCTAACATTTACACAGCAAATCAGTCTTCAGTTCTTGACATGTGTTGTGACGTTGACTGTGGTCCCCACGGTGTGGGCACACTACGCTCAGTTTCCACATGCCCTTTCCTGTCCCTGCTTTCTGGACAGTGTCCTTGGGCTCACCCTGCCCTTCGCTCAAGTGGTGGGCAATGACGAGTTGTGTACCTCCCTGGGATTAGTGCTCGCTCAGTAACTCTCCACACTTACTGCTCTCAAGAGTCCAAACCGACCCCTAGTGGCCCTCTGGGACAGGGTAGAACTGCCTTGTGGGATTTCGAGGCTACAGGAGTTAGGAAAGTTGCCCCCCTCTTCCTTGGGTCAGCTGGTGGTTTTCAACTGCTGGCCTAGCAACCCAAAGAGGAACCACTCTATCACTAAGCTACTTTGCTGAGTTTAGGGGAAGGTGTGAGTTCAATTTCAGATTTGAAGGTTTACCGGCTGTAGTCTCAGGTTCCACCCATCTTTATCAGATGCATAGTTTCTGTAATGTGACGTTCTGTACCATATTCTCTAAGGACCTTGTATGGTCTCCGAATGATGGGCTGGAAATCAGAGTCCCTCGAGTTTTAGCCTCAGGATCCTGGTGGCTGATGTTGGTACATGATTGTACTTCTTACTTCACTGTTCCTTGCTGCAGTGGTGGAGAGACCACTAGCTGCTTTTTGGTTTTCCCCTCTCCTTTTTGGTAGATTGCGCTGCGTGTGAGGCTGGGGATGGATGTAGCTTGTTTAAACATCACCTTAACCTCAGTTTATTGGTAACCTCACCTCTCTGTGCTAGAAAATGAGACAGTTTATGAAGTGTTTCTGATAATACATTCTCATTAAGCTAATGACTTAATTGACTTTGCAATGAGGGGTATTGAGGTTTAATTTGTTAAGTGTTTCAGTATAGAAATTATTTATGGCTCTAGGAATGTCACTCAGCAGTCTTTACCTATGTATTGCCTGTCTTCTGTTCAGTGGATTATCAACAGTGATGCTGTGTTCAGAACACGGCTGAAAAGGTCAGTTAACACATTTTTCATGTCACACTAGTTATTCTCTTGATTAGCATCACATGAAAAACATTAAAGTAAAAAAAATGAAAATAGAGGTGACACAGTATCGTGTGCCTTTTGTTCACGTTACCAACATGGTGCCCAAAAGCTATGCAGTGCAGGGGGGCTTTCTCACCTTGTCTCAGGTTTTTAATATTTGCCTGATTTTAATTCTCGATGACTGCAGAAGCCACCGTGTTTAAATCAAACACTGAAATTTAATGAAACCCTTCTCTATGCATCAAGATGTATTCTGCAGCAATCTCCATTGCCTGGGGCGGACAAAACTGTTTCTGATGTTTTGTCAAAGGAGTTTTTAAAATTTTAATTTTAATGAAGGCTCATACAATTCATACATCCATCCATTGTGTCAAGCACATATGTACATTTGTTGCCCTCATCATTCTCAAAACATTTGACTTCTACTTCAGCCCTTAATATCAGGTGCTCATTTCCCCACTCCCTCCTCCCTCATGAACCCTTCATAATTCA